TATTATTGCTATTATTTTGATGGTGAGGATCATTATGTATTTTGGATGTTCACTACTTATATTTTCCTCATTCTCATTACATAGATCATAATAGTCTAATGTCACTAAATTCTTCTGATTTTTAGTTTTTCTTAAATGGAATTTATTCCGTCTAATTACCCTATTATCTTTTGTTCTAATCCAATATGATCTAGGAGTTGAATGCTTTTTTAAAACTATAGCAGGCTCCCATTTATTTTCCCATCTCAACATTACCTTTTCCCCAGGAATAAATTCAGGTCTTTCCCTTGCATGCTTATCATAATAGATTTTAGCCTGTTTCTGCTTACTCCTCACCTTTTCTCTATATTGATCTTTTACAGTTGGTTTCAATTCTGTTTGTGTAATTGGTAATCGTGTTCTTAAATTCCTACTTAATAGCATTTGACTTGGTGATAAATTTATACCTGAAATTGGAGTATTTCTATATTCCAGTAAAGCCCTCATTTAATTTCTCTAATCCTGCTTTTCTAAATAAACTCTTAGCTATACCTACCAAACTTTTCTGCAAATCCATTAGATTTAGGATATCGAGGACTGCTAGTGATTATTTCAAATCCCCAATCCCTTGCGAAAACTCTTCATTTTCCAACTATTAAATGGTACGTTATCACAAATTAAAGTTTTGGGTATTCCATGTGTTGCAAATATCGATTGAGATGGGAAAATAAATGGGAGCATGCTATAGTTTAAAAAAAGCATTCAACTCCTAGATCATATTGGATTAGAACAAAAGATAATAGGGTAATTAGACGGAATAAATTCCATTTAAGAAAAACTAAAAATCAGAATTTAGTGACATTAGACTATTATGATCTATGTAATGAAAATGAGGAAAATATAAGTAGTGAACATCCAAAAATAATGATCCTCACCATCTGAGGAACATTGTAACATTAATGATCCATCAGGTTTAACCTTGGACCCCCCAAATGCTTTTAATACAACATTACACTTGTTTAAAATAAGATGAGTTCTTTGGACTCAGTGTTTCGTAAGTTTTCACAGGCAAAACATTCACTTCAGACCCTGTGTCCAACTTATAAGTCACAGTTGTCCCTTCAAAAATTAAAGTTTTAGTCCACTCTTTTGTAGATGATGTTGAGCACACACTTTTAGTTCTTTGAACATTTATGGAATTCATGAAGAATTCATTATCAGATTCCGTATATACATCTGCGTTATCATGCTGAGAAACATTTTGGATGTGCTTGAGTCTGCACATAGTCGAAAAGTGATTTAGTTTGCCACAATTAAAGCATTTTTTTCCATATGCCGGACGCTGTCCCTTAACATGATGTCTGTTGCATTTTTTACATAAAGATGTCTCAGTATTTGAAGTGTCATCACTCCATCCTCTGTGCTTCCTCACTGCTATGGCTGCATTGGCTCCTCCTGTCCTGATGTTGCTTCACTTTCTCTCTAGTTACGCTGTCAACATTGTATTCTCTTAATGTTTGAGCACGAGCTTTGCTTCAATTCAGCTGCTTTCCCTAAATCAAGTTGCTTTTTCCAAACTTCAGATTATTTTCTCGCAGCATCCTCCTTTCCTGTAAACTGGCATCTGATACTCCAAGGAAACAATGCGATCACGTACGACAGAGTCACTCTGCTCACCAATTCGCAAGATTTACACAAAGTTTTTTCAGGTCAGTCACGAAACAATCAAAAAGTTCCCCTTCTTCTTGTTTTCTCTTATTGAATAAAAAATCTCTCCACCACAACGTTTGTTCTAGGTGTTGTGAAAGCTTCAAACCTCTCAAGTATTTTTCATAGTTACCCTTAATCTCCTGTTGAAAGATTGAACGTGTTGAAACACTTCAACTGCTTCCTCACCAGCGGCATTTAAAAAATAAGCAACTTTCACATCTGAATCTTTTGAAGCATTTCCTGAAGCTTTCATATAAATCTGGAACAGCTGCTTGAATCTGCGCCAGTTTTCAGCCACATTGCCGTCAAAAACTTAGGCCTTGCGGTGGGCGACAAAATTCCATCTTGCGTCTGCTGAGAGGAAAAACAACCAAGGGTATTGATTGCCTGGCAATTAGTTGTAATACTATTCCACATGACTACGCCATGTTTAAATTGTATTAATTTTTATTGATCTATAATTAAATCATTGCAACATGTTCACGTAGCACATTAAGATTAAGAAGTTAGATTAAGATTAAGTTATTAAGATTAAGAAGATAAAAATTTATAAAAAATTAAAAACATTTTATAACATAAACTTTTTATTCGAAACTTATATAAAATTCTTAATAAGCCAATGGCAAAAAATAATATGTGGCATATTTTATTGGGAACAAGAGATAATTAAAAATTCTTTACAATATTCATGTGCAATTTATATCAAGGATTATAAAAGTGCAGACACTTAAATAACGAAATCAAACAGTCGATTTCCAATGTCAAAAATATATATAGGGCACGACTTTTTTTTTCTTATTCATGATATAAATTTGTAAATGAATTTGTAAAGAATATTATTTAATTTCTTATTCCTGTGCATGTATATACAGATGCATGTGTTCATGTATGCGCATATGTATACATACGAAGGTATACATGTGTTTACACACATATAAATACACAGACACATGCATAGGACGTGCATACATACATTCCTGAATCCCTTCCGATAGCAGAACAATAGCTAAATTACTTTTTTTTTAATTTACTAATCATTTGAGTTTATAAATAAAAGCTTATTTTATAAAAATCTCCTTTTGTATTTTTTTAATTTCTTAAAAAACATCTAAAACGAATTCTTATTTCCTCTTTAACTTTCTAATGGCAAATTTCTTATTATTTTAGAACAGGTAAGGTCGCCGTTATTAAACACTTTTTGACTTATTCAATAACAAAATGATTATTCTTATCACATATTTTGTGATAGGTATGAATAAATTTTAGATCTGTAGCTTGAAATCTTTGAAAAAAATTTACTTCCGTTTATGAAATATTTTGAGTGATTCTCATATTTGTTTTGAAGGGTAAGCAAAATAATGTAAAAGTGGACTATGAATAATGTTTATTAAATTGCTGAGAATATATTCCCAAGCCATGTGAAACTGCAAGCCGGAAGATGGCCACCAGTTTGAGACAACTGCATTGGAAAACATTTCTTTTTGTTAATATACTTCGTTTTAAAAGATTATCAAAATGAGTCGTTTTATTGTATTTAAGATTCAACACTTGACTGCCACACTAAAAGCTCAGAACAGGCCACATTATTTATTATATTGTTATGAATTAATGAACTGAACTATAAAGCAGTTGATGCAATTATTAAGAATATTGTTTCTTTGATTTTTTAATGTAAATGATTTAAATAAAAGCACATTTAAAATTAATGAATTTTCATTTAAATGAATCAGATTAAAATGTTAAATATTTTTATAGAATTATATAACTTATTTTTTCACTTTATAAATCTACAGAAAATAAATAATATTTCAGTCTAAATGAGTATTCATCTATTTTCCTATGAAATGTTTTGTTATTCCACCTGGGCACTGTCTGGTGACAATCTCAACTGATAAACTGTATTAAATTTAAAATGATCCCTTTTGAGCAGTTGTTAAAATCTGAACCCTTTCAATTCTTATCTTTCTTGTTCAGTGTTTCTTTATTTAATAAAACTGGCGTCAATATAAAGAAAATGCTTTGATATTGAGTATGTACTCTGCTCAATTGATAAGGGATAGGCAATTTAAATAAACAGATAGCTGCTGATAAATATGGTACATACTATTAAATATATTTATGAAATGAGAACTTAATAAAAATGTAAAAGAAAGGAAAAAATTTATAGGAAACACAACTATTATAAAAAATTATTTTTACACATATCTTTCAGACAAAAAAGAGATGCATTAAGGAATTTTGTCAGACTTTTTAATAAAGATTGTAGATATTTTGAGTCTGTGGGGAACTAAATTGATTACATGATAGATAAGGTTATGCGAGATTTCCCCCAGGTTTCCCTATTGAATGTACAGTAGCTAAAGTTAAAAGTCTATTAACAATGTATCCCGATCATGTTCTACTGGATTCAAATCTGAACACCATTCCATATGCTCTGTTTCTCCTCATGTGTTCAAGTTCATTAACTAGGCCATTTTGATGTATAAAAAGGATGGAATCGCCAGTGACAGCAGTACAAAGCATTACCAAGAATTTCTTCTCTGTGCATTTGAGCCATCAGGAGACAGATTCTGAATGATGTAGAAGTCAGTACATCCATATATGGTGAAACAAACCCCTTATTTTCAGCAAAATGAGTTTTTTGGAGATTGTGTCGCATTAAATTTTATTGAGTGTCACATTTTGTCCAGATCAAAACTCATGAATTAGCTGTCTCTGACCAAATCTGGATTCATTGAGGTAAAAAGCTTGGTTTAACATTTTGTCCGATTGCAGAGTTCTTAAGTCCAGTTTCTTCAAGCCTGGCCTACACCTGGAAATACATTTGTAAATTTTGTGTAAGCTTCTTTAAAGGACACTGGAGGCTTTTTTTGCAGTTGCGTGACATTGTGTCACCTTGTTCAATGGGGACCATTATTAGCAAATAAGGTCATTCTTTGAAGTGGTAACTCGTGAAAGACATTGACCAAAATCTCTTGGTACCAAATTAGGTGGTTGCTTCTTAGCTCACTCGAATGTTGGATGCTAATATCTGTTGATGTTTGGCTTTCCATCTTACTGTGGCTCATCATACGATGTTTTAATGCGAAATCCTTTTGACTCGGGACTCTGATCTGAATTGGATGGAAAAATCTGCTGTGTATACAATAAATGGTGCATGTATATAGGTTTAAAAGAAACACTCCTTTTAGGAGACTTTCATATCACATTAAAAATGTGTGTTCATTGTTAACATTGTATTTGCATTTTAAACAGCTTTCTGTGCCTGCTTTTTTCATTATCCAGAGTAATGAATTTTATTTCAAAGCATTTCAGTAAACAACACTTTAGTAAACTGCTTTGAAATAAAATATATTTTGAAACGTTCTTTTTTCTTTTGGCTAGCATCTGTACTGTATAAGTTTCCAGTTTTTGTTACCCATAAGCTCTATTTGCATTGAGTAATACTGTGCATCTGTGGTAGAGATTATATGAAATGCAATAAAATGCTTTCAAAGTTACTGAAGTTTTTTGTTGAATGTCAGAGTAATTTATACAGCATTCTAATTGGAATTTTATCCTTTTCAGGTGTTGGAAAAGGTATTTGCATTTAAAAAAGACTTTGATTATTTCCTGATGAGGGAAGCAGATGCCCTGCTGGATGCAGGTAATTAATAGTATTTTTTTTTGGCATATGCGGTAATTTAATGTTTAATATAGTGTCATTTTCTTCTTTTTTAACTCAATATTTAGTGTATAGTTTTCTATCTGGCATCTTGAATGCATTTGAATATGTGTTTTTGTTGATCATATTTTGTTAATCATACAGAAAAGCTGATGATATAGATAAAGTATTGACAATTTAAAATAAATTTCTGTTTTGAATTGTTTATAATTTTGGTTTTAATTAATTAATTAATTTTTTAAATGAAGTGCCTTTCCCAAGACTCTATTTCTTTGTTAGTTTCCATGTTAATGTTAATTTTTTGTTGAATATGCATTTTTGTTAAACACGCGTCATACATACAGGAAAGATTGATTTTTTTTTTATTTAAAGGAAAGGGACCTTATCATCAGGAAAGAGAGCCAGAAGAGGAGGATGAGGTAATTTTTCAATTAATATTTTTCTAAAGCATATATATCTAAAAAATTCATGAGTTTTGACTTATTTTAAACATTAAAAGTATATTTTAATTGCTGCAGCTGTATTTTTAGCAAGGAAAGACTTGGTACTTTTTACAAGTATTGTATTTAGGAAATCCTTGGTAGATTTATTATTCATTTTAGTATGGAGACTTAGACTAAAAAAAGTTTCTATTTTTATAAAACAGGAATATTAGTAGTTCTTGAATACCATAATCCTACCTAAGTAGTTTCTCTTTTCAAATTTTAAAGAAAATTTAGCTTACATTTCTCATGATTTTAAGGCTTTAGCAGCATATATTTTGCTTTAATGTCAATTCTCATGCACTTGTGGTCAGATGCTGGTTGTACGCACAGTTATATATCACCATGTGTGTATCAATTGGAATTTTTAGTACTGGCAAAGTACATTAATCTTCAACGCTATTTCATTTTTGTAAAGTCTGTCTCTTGGTGAACATAAAATTAGTGTCGTAACTGTAAATGTTGTTTATAAACCTGAAGCATCCTTAATGGGGATTTCTACCTAGCTGCAGATAGTTTGAGGCTAAAATACTACATGGTACCTTTGTTTTATAGAATCCATAGAATGTCTTGTTTTATCCAAAATAGTGATTTTCAGTGGTATGATAATAATGCTGTACAATATACAGTACACTCCCTGATTATCCGCGGAATCGGGTGGCGCGGCCGCCGCGGATAATAAAAATCGCGGATAATCCGAAAAAAGCTAAAAATGGGAATAGCAAAAGAGAAAACAGTCATTCCAACTTTGAAAAATCGTTTTATGTGCAATAAAATGTAAAATAAACAGCAGTAAATGTTTAACTAACGCTTAATATTTTAGTATATCACTCAAAATTAACCTAAAATGCAATTTGTTAATGAAAACAGAAAAGTGCTTTGTATACTTACGAGAGGTGTCAAGGATACGCAGAAAAATTAATACATATGTACTGTTTTAATACTGTAATGTATTATGTAATTACAAAAGCATAACTGTAACAGTTATTTGTGTTCGTTTCTTGCTTTGGAAGCATTTTCTCTTGATCCGAGATTGCATTTTTCATAGCATAAGTTTCTCAGCCAATTTTGCATCGTCTGGTTCTTTAAAATAGCTCAGCATTCCATCGACTTGTTGCAAAGCCCCTTCGTGAGTCTTCCACTTCTGCACATTGGGCTCTTCTTTGCCTTCACTTTGCTGTCCTTCACTCTCAGTCTCTCCCCTTGCTTTCTGCACAATTTCGTCATCTGTCAAGCCTTCGAAGCCAGGTTTGTTGACGTCACACTCCAACCACTCGTTAATGTTTTAAGCATCGACGTTCTCACCACCTGGAACTGTTTTCACCATATCGGCAAGAGTTGACGTGGGCGTGTCTACATCTTCATTCTCTTCTTCACAACTCAAAGGGGTTACGTTGTTGTTGGCTTCAACATTAGGCATGAGTTTTCTCTTTGATTTTATGGGAGTTGACAGTTTCACAGTCCCATGCAGATGCAATATCGTAGATGCTGTCCAAGATTGTATAGTGTTTCCAAAACTCTTTCAGATTATAACCTTCTTCAATTTTGCTCATTAGCAGCTTGGTTCCGTATGTTCTCTTCATTGTTGCAATGACTCCTTGGTCCATAGTTTGGATTAGCGCAATAATGTTTTGGGGGAGAAAATTTGCAAAAATTTGTCCATCAGAAGACTTTAGCACGCTTGTTGCTGGGTGAGAAGATGCGTTGTCGATTAATAGCACAGCTTTTTCAGGCAGGTTTTATGATTTAAGATGTTTACGCACTTGAAGAACAAAGATTTTTTCGAACCATTCTTGAAAAATGTTTCGGTTCATCCATCCTTATTTTTGGTTAAAGTAATCAACGGGCAAATTTTCTATCCTTGGGCCTTTGAAAGATCTCAGTTTTTTTTTTTTTTTTTTTTTTTTTTTTTTTTAAACTTTCCAATGACAAACAAGTCTAAGTTTATGTCCACCGGTAGTGTTACTGCAAGACATGATAGTGATCCTTTTTTTGCTGCTTTTATGACCCGCCACTTTACTTTCACTTTCAAATGCTAAAGTGCGAGTGGGAAGACATTTCCATTAAAGTTCCGATTCGTCAGCATTGTAAGTTTGTTCAAAAGATTGCTCTTCTTTTAAAACAAATTCTTCAAATTCATGGTGGAAATCATCGGCTGCTTGTTGGTCACCACTAAGTTTCTCCCCTCGAATTCCATGTCACTGCTTAAAACGAGTCAACCAGCCAGAAAACGCATCAAAATTTCCTTTCAGGCCTAGCAACTCAAAAAAAGTTTCTGCCTTCGCCACAATGATAGGACCTTTTGCAGGAGTACCCTCTTTTCGAACTTGAGCTAACCACTCTGTCAATGCCGTGTCTAGCTCATCAAAGGTAGTTTTTTGCATTTTCATTGCGGAAGCACTGTTCGACATTGATGCAAAGTTCACCAGTTTGTCTTTTTGCCTTAAAATGTCACACACTGTTGTTTCCGATATTCTGTAATCCAGTTCCATCTGCTGCTTTGTAGCGCTGTTTGCTACTTTGGAAATTAATTCTAGTTTTTGCGCAATTGTCAACACAACCTTCTTTCGATTTCCTGACATTTTAAATCGGTAACGAAAAGCAAAAAACCAAAAAGCACAATCACTGAACACAGTAAAAGATAAGAAATTAACTCCGACCAGTTCGCAAACACTATCGGGCTTAAACTAAGAATGGCGAGTGGCAAGAAGTGGACGTGTCAGTAAGATTAAGACGAGAGAGGATGATGGAGCGGGCAACTGCAAGGGTGAGTAAGAAATCACTTACTCATCAGAGGGGAAGGTTCCGAGAAGGCCTGGGATATTTCTGCTATAAATAATCACGATGTTAGCAAATTAAACATTTCACTCAGTTTTGTGAACATTTTTATTTTCTTTGCTTTAGGCTTGTAAAAAAAAAAAAGAAACTTTGTGCGACAGGCACGGATAATCTGCCCGCGGATAATTGGGAGTCTACTGTATGTGGATCCTTCAAAGTATTTTTTCACATTTATTTTACATATGTGCATATGTGTTTCTTAAATTGTAAAAATTTCTGTATATTGAGCTTAAGATGCTCTAACACATTTTGCAAAATTATGTTGACAACAGAAAATTAGATGTTCAGAATTTCCATCATGCAGTTATTTTTAAGATTATAAAATGATGTTTGAATTGCAGTTAGATATTCTTTATTGTAAGTTCTGCGTGGTAAGAGATTTTAAAACTTCCCTTTTATAGAATCTAATGGTTTACTAACAGTTATTAAAAAAATTAATTCAATTGTTTTAGTTTTGGGATTTTGATACATGTTCTTCATTCCATTCTTTCAGAAATGTCAGATATGTTACCTTATGATCTTATGAACATCAAAATGCTTTTTAAAAATTAAAAGAAAAGAAATTTAATATTTAAAAATTTTGAAAAATATTTCATTAATTTTTGCATAGGATCTCAGTATAGACTCATGCATATCAACAACATATAGATTATCATTTTTTTTTGCCTGGAATCTGAACTTTTAGGGGATATATTTCAGAATCAAATGTGTCATAGTCAGTTCCATTTAATTAACAATTCTGAGGTCTTTTGTGTGGATAAGTTCTTCATAATGTAGCATAGTATAATATAATGCAGTGGTAAGGGAACATAAAATAGAGGTAAGGGGACATAAATTAGTAGTCTAAGAACTTAGCCCTAAAGATGTGTAAATAAGTCAATCCCAATGGAGTCTATTCTACACCTAAATACTTTAATTATTAGTTTGTAATAACTGACACAATGAGTCGTATGTGGAACTGCCTTTCTCAAAAGACTTTACGAAAGATGTGAAGGGTATTTTTTTATTATTTAGTGTTAATAGAAAGATGTTTGTAGGTATTCTGTTGTAATATCTTATTTGACATTAGTTATTGCTGAACTGATCTCATAGATACATATCTGATGCCTTTTAATTTGATTCTGCACAATTTGATTCTGCACGCAGAATTCCAAATGTGTAATGCTGTTTGAATGCTTAATGAAGCTATTGTGAGGTCAGGAAATCTAGAACAAAAAAACTGTATCAAAAGTACATCCCATTCATCAGACTCCTGTTTTCATTCTCCTTTCAAAGTCCGATGGACATAGCTCAGGAGAAATGCACACAAAGCTGTTTAAAAAAGCTCAAAAATTCACATCCAGCAATGCAGAACTTTTCATAATTTATATTAGTTTTTACTTAATGTCAGTATCTCATAAAAATTGGCATACTGCTTTCTCAAGGTTTTTGACATCCGATTGTAAATGTAAAAAACATTTTTAATATGTGCAATAACTGTTGAAAATTTCTAAATATATTTGTTACTTTTGCAGGTTATAGCATGGCCTCTGAATCTTCTACCTCCTGGTCTATGGTCCGAAGTAAGTTTTCTGCATCGTCAGATATATATATTATAAGGAGAACAATTAAATATCCATCAAATCAGAATCTGATTGATGTTTTTAATTCATAATTTAACTAATGTTTTCCTCAAGATTTGACTTAGCTTTTTTATCAGTAGTCAGCTTAGTGTAAGAGCTTTTAGTAGACATCAGTGCTTAGTCATAATTTCCAAGCTGAAGATAAGTCTCGTTTATTGGAAGCATTATTTTGTTATGTTAATGTTTAAATAATATAACGTTCTTTATGGTTATTGCAAGGAATCATTTCTTTTTAATAGAAGGTAATTTTGAGGTGTGTGTGGATGAGTTCTTTATAGTGTTGCATAGTTTAGCAAAATGTAGCAGTAAAATAATATAAAATAATAGCCTAGAAATTTCCTCTTATTTCTTTTTTATAAGGAATGCATAATTTTCCTAAATAGAAATATGCGAAAAAAATTTTACATTTTTAAATATATAATCTTTTACATTTAAAAATGACACAACAGGAATATTTGGGTTATTTAAAACACTTTTTAAGTGGAAGTATATATATCTGTGATAAACAGACAAACAGTTGTGCAAGCAAAGGCCAGGGAAGAAATTTTGCTAGATTTATCACATGGATTTTGCACATATGTGTGTTCAGTTTTGATTGAATTTTTACAACAAAATCTTATGTGCAAGTTGGCTTATATTTGGAAATTTTGGTACTCTGTTAAATGATTGCTGCTATTCCTTTAAGTATTGTTTTCTTGCACTTTTTCCAGTGTTGCAATAATAACAATTCTATTTTCTGTTGTCATGTATTTTCGTCTAGTAAATATTTCATACATCGAATACTCTATATTTCATAATTTCATTTCTTGTGTTATTGTGGACTTTAATATTTTACCAATATTTATTAAAAATTATGAGTTTAAATAAATATAGGTAAAATATTGAATTTTATTCTTGTTTTATTTTCTTTTGTCATTTAGAAACATATTTTCCATGCCATTCTTTTAAAAAAAGAAGCTCAGTTTTGGGAAATGACAATACAGATGTGTGGTTTTATGATTGGTGGCTAGTTACCATTATGATGTGAAAATGCTTTTTTAAAATTTGAGAAAAAATAATAAAAATTTTGAAATAAATTTTGTTTACTTTTGAATAGAAGCTCAATATAACAATATGCACATAAATGACACATAGGGTACCATTTTTGTTTGGAATCTGAAATCTTAGGGAATAAACTTAGGGGACTCTACTGTGAGAGGATGATAGAGGAAAACATTTGCTTGGGTATCATTGTATCATAAACCAAGAACAGCTATGTGCGAAAGAACTAGGATTTGACCGGCTAATGAAAGTAGTGAGCGATATAATCAATTTTATTCCCTCACATGCTTTTTAAACCACAGTCAATTTAAGGAAATCCTAGAACACACAGATGCATCACATAGTGATCTCATATATTACTCTGAAGTACGATGGTTGAGCCGTAGAGAAGCTTTGAAAAGGCTTGCTGATTTGATTGATGAAATAATACAGTCAAAAGTCGTTAATCCGGACTCGTCGGGACTTCGGCCATTCCGGATTATCGATTTTTCCGGATTATAGATCATCAGTTTAAATCTGGTAAGATGGCATGCAGAAATTATAAAATTAAAAATATGAAACTGTAATTTATGAAATAAAGAACAATTATGATCTAAAGGGTATCAAAATTTACAAAAAAAAAAGCTTAATATTTATTTGTTTACTTTATTAAACATTTCTTTCAATGTAAGTTGTTTAAGTTGCTTCGTTTTATGTGATAATACTTTCTCTTTAATTCTGTAAACGGACATAATTTCTTGTTCAGTTACAAAGTTCCGCTGTTCAAGTTTTATAATTGCTGTGTCGAGAATACCGACTAATTTGTCAATTCGAAATTTTTTTGTTTTCAATAACCTCTGTGTCACTTTCTTCACTATCGGAAGCGAATTATAATGACGAGGAATTGGATTTAAATCATATCAAAGATGGAGTACATCGAGATGAAATACTACATTTAGTAAGGAATTATAAGCCAAATAAAACAAAAACATCTGCCCTGAAGATAAGGATACTGCTGACAGATCAACTTTCAATTCATTGCGCACTGCGGCGTCCCCCCTTCCCCCCGCCCAGAGCAGCGTGAAATTGATAAACAGATTTCGGAATGGTTAGAGAAACGAAGACTATGCCTTTATCCATTTTTTGCAGCAATTCCACTTTTTGTTTAATGGACTTCGAAACACACTTTCGCTTTGTAGATCCTTTACATATTAGTAAATATATATCAGAAATTCTATTTGACATAATCGAAAGTTCAAGCTTACTTTTATAAAACTGCTCTAACATTCTGCAAAAAATAATAAGCCGGATCGAATTCGAAGATTAAGGAACAACGCAATCTGCAGCATTAACTGAATTAGATAATTTTAGCTTAGCTTAGCTTATACCGTCCATTATACATTAAACGCGCATGCATAAATGTATTATGCGCATGCACACACGCATATTCGCAGCCGTAAGGATTAACGCGACACATGCGCAGAAAGTTTGTAGCATTGAGGTCCGGACTATAGATCATTCTGGATTATAGGTGTCCGAATTAACGACTTTTGACTGTACCATTCCTTGATGAAAATGGCAAGCAAACTAGGATGCTAAAGGAACCATCTCTTAAGTGTAAATTAGCATTTTTAGTTGATGTGAGAGCTATTCTGAATGACCTAAAAAAAAAAAAAAAAAAAAAAAAATGATGGGGAAAAAAAAAAAACAATTCATCAATCACCTGGCCAATGCAGTATCTGCTTTCAAACTAAAACTCCAGCTGTTCTCAAAGCAACGCTTGGCTGTCAAAATTTTGTCAATTTTTTTTTTACTTGAAGAAACTCAAAGAAAATTTTTTAGATAAAGAACTGGCTTATTCAGATCAAATAAAGAGGCTGCTTATTTCTTTTGAAAAGCGATTTACAGACTTTGAGTTGCATGAGGTTAAATTTAAACTGGTCAGGGATCCATTGTAGTTGAAGAAGGTCCAGAAGATGTTCAATGAGAACTTATCGATTTACAAACTTCTGACTTATGCAAATCCAGATTCCATGATTTAGATATTCTGGACTTTTATAGAACTCCACCTGCCGAATTTTTGCACTTAAAAAATAATGCAAGCAGATTTGCTACCATGTTTGGTAGCACATATATTTGTGAACAAACATTTTCTCTTATGAATCTAAAAAAAGTCAAAATTAAGAAATAGAGTGACAGATCAACACTTGCAATCTGTGTTATGAATATCAACAACTAACTTTAATCAAATATATCAAAAATTGTTCATAAAATTCAGTCTCAACCATCACACTAATGTATTTAACTATGGCTAACTTGTACACATTTTTATTAAAATATTTGTATACAAGTATTAAATTCTCATACGCAAAAGCTGAACTGTGTGTTTTGGGACCAGTAGTACATGCAAGGGAAAACCCATCCCTCTTAGCTTACATACACACATAATGGTCTCCAAATCAATTTTAATCTGATTACATGTCTGAATTGCAAATTAAACGACTTATTGCATTGAACCGACCCTCCCTTCAAAAAATGTTTTGCATACGCTTTTGGCCACTAACAGAAACAACCAAGTTGTTTCTTTTAGTGGCAACTTCTGCTAAAAAAGTTTTTGCATCCCTACTTTAAAGTATTTTTCCGCATTTACTTTGCACATGTGCATACGTGTTTCTTAGATTGTAAAAATATCTATATATTTAGCTATATTTCACATAAGATACTTAACACATTTTGCGAAATAATGTTGACTGCAGAAAAATAGATCTTCAGAATGTCCATCATGCAGTTATTTTTAAGATTTTGCAGTGATGTTTGGATTGCAGTTAGATTTTCTTTATTGTATGTTCAGTGTAAGAGATTTCAAAACCTTCCTCTTGAAATATCTGATAGTTTAACTAACATTTATGAAAAAAAAAAAAAAAAAAAAAAATGAATTTAAAACTGGAGAGTTCTACGGGTGGGAGTTTTCAAAATGTTGCTTTTATAGATTTTAATAGTTTACCGATATTTATTTAAAATTATGAATTCATTTGTTTTATTTAGTTTTTGTGATTTAGATGTATTTTTTCATTCAATTCTTTCAGAAAAAGAAAATCGTTTTTGAGAAATGAGAGTACACATGTGTGGTTTTTATGATCCGTGGACAGTCACCATCCTGACATCAAAATTTTTTTTGAAAATTAAAAGAAAAGGAATTTAATAATAAAAATTTTGAAAGATATTTCGTTTTTTTTTAATAGGATCTCAGTATAGGAACACACATATAAATAACATATAGGGTTTTTTTTTTTTTTTTTTTTTTTTTTTTTTTTTTTAAATGGAATCTAAGCGTTTAAGGGGATAAATTTCAGAAGCAATAAATGTATCAATTCAATTCTATTTAATTCATAATTCTGAGGTCTTTTGTGTGCATAAGTTCTTCATAATGTAGCACAATAGTGCAGTGGTAAGGGAACATTACGTAGTTGCCTGAGAACTTTTCCCTGAAGATGTGTAAATAAGTAAATTCTAATGGAGTCTATGCCACATCTGATACTTTAATTATTAACACTGACTGACACAATGAGTCGTTGGTGGAACTGCCTTTCTGAAAAGACAGAAAGGAAGTCTTCAGGAAAGACCTGAAGGGTATCTTTCCAGATTACTTAGTGTTAATAAAAAGATCTTTGTAGGTCTTTTATTGTAATACCTTATTGACATTTATTATTGCTGCACTGAGCTCATAGATGCATGTCTGATATCTCTTAATTTGATTCCGCATATTATTTAGCACAATGTTTTTCGAATGCAGAATGCATGCAGAATTCCAGATGTGTAATGCTATTTAAATTCTTAATGCAGATATTTTGTGACGTCAGTAAACACAGAATGACAAAATAGTATCAAAAGCAATGTGTCATTCATCAGACTCCATTTCTCATTCTCCTTTCAAAATCCAACGGACATTGCTCAGGACAAATGCACACAAAGCTGTTTAAAAAACTCAAAAATTCACATCCAGCAACATAGAATGTTTTCGTAATTTATATTCGTTTTGTGAATATCATATAAAAATTGGCGAACTGTTTGCTCAATATTTTCGCCATCTGAGTGTAATTGTAAGAAATGTTTGTAATATGTGCACTAACTATTGAAAGTTTCTCAATATGTTTGTTACTTTTACAGCGAGAGGCATCCCTTTTCCAACCACCTTCTCCACCTCCAATTACACCACCTTGCCCACCTAAGGTAAGTTTTGTTCATCTTCATATATATTATAAGAAGTACGATTAAGTATCTGTCAATTAAGATTTTGAATGTTTTTAATTCATAATTTAACTAAAGTTCTTAAGATTTGATATAACTTATCAGTAGAGATTTTTATCAGTAGTCAGCTTAGCGTACGAGCTTTTAGTAGACATCTGTGCTTAGTTTTAATTTCCCATCTGAAGTTAAGTCTCGTTTATTGGAAGTATTATTTTATTAGTTTAATGTTGAAATAATGTAAAGTACAGTAACTTTTTTTTATGGTTTTTGCAAGGAATCATTCCTTTTATGGACATAGTGGAACTGACTTTCTCATCCTCTACAGCTGTAATAACTCAAGACAAGAAAGATTAAGCACAAAATTGAATTAAAAAAGTATCAAAATACTTTGTTCAGAAATTGAGAGAAAATATATTTAATAAAAATTTTGAAATAAATTTAATTTACTTTTGAATAGAATCTCAATATAACAACATTGATGTAAATGACACATAGAGTATCATTTTCGTGTGGAATCTGAAATTTTAGCAGATAAATTTCAAAAGTAATAAATCATTAGTCGATTCTATTTAATTCATTATTTTGGGGTCTTAAGTTCTGCATAATATAGGGTAGTATAACAAAATCTGACATACATGGCTCAATGTAAATGCACACGAAACTTTTGAACTCGAAAAATTCACTTCCAGCAACTCATAATTTTTTCATACTTTATGTTAGTTTTACGTCAGGTCAATACACTCATAAAACTTGCATGCAGCAATCTCTAGGTTTAGATATGTGATTGTAAATGTAATAAAAGTTTTTAATATGTGCACTATTTATTCTGTTAGTTGTTTCTAAATATATTTGTTACTTTTATAGGGCAATAGGAAGAAGCGGAAGAGGACAGAGTCTCCTGTCCCAATGCCTCAAGTAAGTTATTTTTTGCAGCAGAATTGGAAGTAAATAGTGGTTCTAATCTGGTAGCATTTTAGACACCTTTTATTTAATGAGAACGATATTTTTTTACATATTTCACAACACACTCTTAATGCCCAAAATTGTTTGACAAAATATATTAAACACACCAATGTGAATTTGAATTTTTGACACTAAAACTGCATTAATCTTCAATACTATTCCATTTTTTGTATAAATATCTCTCTGTGTGACCACAAAAGTAGAGTTTAACTGTACATGTTGTTTAGAAACCTGAAGCATCATTAATGGAGATTTCTACAAATTTGTGTGTTTTGAGTCTAAACTGCTAGATGCTAAATTTTTTTCTTTAGAATCCATACAGCATCTCAATTTTATCCAAAATAAGTGCATTTCTACAGTATGTTAATATGTAGTAAGGTTCTGCAAATGTATGCAGATCCTTAAGAAGTAATTATTTTTCCACAATATTTATTCTGTTTATATTTCCATTGTAAAAGTTTACGTATATTGTATTTCACAACATATTTTGAAAAATAATGTTGGCTATACGAAACTAAATCTTAACAATTTCCATCATACCTTCAACATACATATCTCGAAGATTATGCAATTATGTTTTTAACTGCAATTAAAAACTGCAGAATTCTATGTGGTGGGTGATTTCAAAATGTTGCTTTTATAGATTCTAATAGTTTACCAATATTTATTTAAAATTTTGAATTCATTTGTTTTATTTAGTTTTGTGATTCAGAGGATGTGTTTTGCATACCATTCTTTTAGTAAAAGAAACTCAGTTTTTGAAATGGCAATACAAATGTGCGATTTTATGATTTGTGGGCAGTTACCATTATGACATCAAAATGCTTTTCTAAACTTTAAGAGAAATTAAATTTAATAAAATTTTTTAATTTCATTTACTTTCGAATAGAATCTTAACATAGCAGCATAAACATAAATGACATGCTGTAATCTCAAGCTTTTTATATGTGATTGTAAATGTGAGAAATATTTGTAATATGTGCACTAACTACTCTAATAGTTGTTTCTAAATACATTTGTTACTTTTATAGGGCAAGAAAAAGAATAGCAGGATTTACTCCACACCATCCACCTCCTCATATCCTGGTCCATCATTCGGTGGAGAATCAAGCGAAATACCTTTTTGGCATCCCCCCGAACAAAGTGATGTGATGAGGTTTTTGTTTGGGGACCATTTGGCATCCCTGTGTGAGGAGCGCCCGGAGCATCATACACCCCCTTGTCCCCCCCTCGCTACACCACTGCCATCATTCCCTTCCGAAGTAAGTTTTGTACATCTTCATATATATTGTTTGCAACAGAACTAGAATTAAATAATTGTTTAAATCTGGTAACATGATAGTTCCATTTCAGATAACTTAAAAGATTTTATTTTGTATTTAAAAACTTTGTTACAGCGAGTCATCTGGGCAGTGATGAGGTCCCAGTGACCAGGGCACAAAGTCAGGTCCCTGGGACGAGGACATCATTAATTTTAAGACAAATTTAATTAAATTTAATTTTATGTAATTTAATTTGTTTCATATTTTTCAATTTTTAATGGAGATATTTCGAGTTTTTATGTAATTTTGTATTGCCGCGAAGTGAGAATTGAATTGAATGAGAAATATATCTCAAATTGAAGGAATTAAGTTTAAATGAAATGTAGCAAAAAATTTGTATACAGTAATATGCTATTACAGTATACAAAATTTACCACTGAAAGTCATGTGGTGTCCACATCAGAATTTTTTATGAGGATTTTCCTTAAATAGAAATGGCAAAGAAATGTATAGAATGCTATATTTTGTAATTTATAATGTTTTATATTTAAAAAGGCCAAAAGATGAATATTTGGGTCAAAATATTTTTGTAAGAAGTATGTATATCTGTGGTAAACAGACAAACAGTTGTGCAGGTAAAGGCCAGGGAAGGAATTTTGCTTGATTTGTCATGTAACTTGATTTATGATGCAATTTGCACATATGTGTCTTCAGTTTTGATTGTGTTTTTACAAAAAATCTTGGCCTGTCTGCAGGTTGGCTTATAAACTGGTTATCATAAATTAAGGAAAAATCAGAAAATAGCGATAACTCCCACAAAAATAAGCCAAACCGTGTAAAATTTGCAAAAATAAGCCAAACCGTGTAAAATTTGAATATGTTGCCAACTAAGAGTAGCTGAGTAAAACTGCGATATGCAAATTAGTGGCGCTGCTTTCGGAATACGTCATCTGCAAGGAGCATAAAAGTCCATGTTTGAGAGCAAGCCCACATATTTCACTGTGATAGTGACATCAGAAATCTGAGATAGCCAATTCGTAACAATGACCTCCAGCCATCGTCTGCCTGCAGAACTGCAATGGAGAGCCATTGGGAGACTAGAGGCAGGACAAAGTCAAACAGAAGTGGCCAGATGGTTAAATGTGAGTCCTTCTGTGGTTCGTAGACTTTGGAGGCAATTTCAAACCACAGATTCGGCATCTAGGAGGTTCAGCCAAGGACGGCCAACTGCTACGATGAGCGCCGATGACCGATATTTGACATTATGTGCCAGACACCGGAAGGTTGGTGTCAACGTCAACTGTGCGTAGAAGGCTTCATGAAGGTGGTCTGTATGCGAGGCGAACAAC